TGATGTGTGTGTGTTTGATGTGTTTGTGAAAGTATATATGCATTAAGCTCTGTATGTTTTTACCTGGAAGTACAGTGAAAAACACTAAGTATTTGGACAGTAACAATCTGTTTGATGTTTTGGCTCCATATGTGTGGCTTTAAAATTACATAACACCTGACTACCAATTCTCTTGAAGTGCACTTGCACTTGAAGTACATGAATAAGCCTATAAAATCCTACAGCTTCCACAAGATTTAATAGGATATTTGTAAGGAGACTGTGAGACCATCTGTTTTGGAGGCAAGATACCTAGTTCTCAAACTAAGAATTGCATATTCATTTACTAAAATGTGGGTTAGCATAAAGTTCTAAAACAGTTTTAGAATGTTTAACATACAAGTTTCTATACAGTTACTAAAATTAGGTAGTGGAGAGGAAAACACACTCCTTCCCCACCACAGAAACATGGGTTTAATACCCAGCAGTGGTGCTTCCGGCTTGGCTGAGTGCTCCATCAAACACATCTGGCTGTGTTCACAGGAGGGAAGCCGGTGACAGATCACATCCTTGTTGCAGCAGTAGCTACTCCTCCTGCTTTTTCTGTAAACATTATCTTATTCTGTCAACTACATCCTCCCCAGACCAACAGTGGGAGTTAGCAACAACCAGGTCTGCAGTGCAGACCAGTAGTCCAAACGGTAGAATTCTCCTCTGCTTTGTTCTCACAATGTACTGTATGTCTGCATGTCTACCTCTAACAGCGATTCTTCCAACTGAGCCAGCTGTATCTTCTTGTCTTCCTCTTGCTGTAGTAGTCTTGTTTTTTCTGTCTCCAACTCTGGCTTCTCCTGCTGGATGGTCAAGGCTAGCAGCTAATACACAGACACACACACACACACAAACACACAAACAAGAAGACATACAGCATGAATACAGAAACACACACAGTATGACTACAACATACAATGCATACTCTCTATGTACAACACAGTATTATTCCACTGTAACACTTGTTCCACATAAAGCACAAAGCACTGAGTCTGCAGCGTATTTGAAGCTACCTTAACAAAAATGAACCTAGATTTACAAAAGAAGACAAAAAGATTGTGTTTGTGTTTGTGTTTACCTGTCCTCGCAAACCTGCCCTGGTGGTGGTGAAGTTGACCTCCGTAACCACGGACACAGCATCAGGGGGGATGAAGGGGGTGGGATTCCGTGTTGCCATGAAGAGACGGAAGTCCTCATTGTAATCAATAACCTTGTCTCCTATCTGAACCACGTATCTAGGACCTGAGTGTGTGTGCACAAGTGTCGAAGTTGGACAGAAAGAGAGAGAGTCATATACTTTATCATACACACTACTACACAAATTCTATCTTCACAGTTTTACTTTCTGCTCTACTCTGTCTTCTAGATGTCTGCAATGCAGTACTGCCATGCCTTTGTCTCGCCTCTTTTTTCCATCCTGTTCAACACCACTTTTAAGTGGATAACTTGCCCTTTCTCACACTTTCTCTGCCCCCACTCTTTCCAATTCAGCTTCAAATAGACAACCGCCTCTCCCTGGATGATTCACAGCCTTATGAATCACCCTCGTTTTTACAGGTATGTATCCAACACCAGTTTACACGTACTTACATGATTAAAGTAGCTGTTTGCAACTGTGATTGGTATGCAATTATCTAAGCCAAGAAACTAAAATATATCACTGGTGGACAGGAGGACAGATTCAAATACAGACAGATATCAACCTTAGATGTATTTTTACATTTCTACTTTAATTTTATTAGATCATTTCAAGTAGCATTTATACATAAAATAGAATGAACAAAGCAGTATAGAGTGCATCTGCATACTGATATATTGTACATTCAATAGTTCAATAACTGCAAAATGTTTCAGCTGTCCGAATTCTTCAGTGGATAAAACAACTACTCTTTCTGAGGACTTTGGATTGGCAAGGTTAACTACATGTAATTACCATGACTTCTTTAAATGATCATGGAAGTGTGTGTGTGTGTGTGTGTGTGTGTGTGTGTGATTAATGTTTCTTGGCTTTCAACTTTGTTAAGCAATACATATATAACAGATGTGTGAAGAGCTACATGTTATATAACAGACATTTTTCACAGCCGCCATTTTGACATGAAATAGTAGGGTAAGCACAGGTGTTACCAATGGTACTAATTAAAGTTCCTTTCCATTAAGTGTAAAACGGCTGCTGTGAAAAAGGTCGATTAGTTGTCCCTGACATTTTTCCATAATTGCAAAAGCTTTCGTAGCCTCATTAGAGTAGCAGGCAATGTGTAAGTCACACTGTGCATGACTGTGAACGGTAACATGGATGAGAAGTTTCAAAAATGTAAAAAGGAAGCAAATAGGGTTTAGCTTGTTTTATCAGTTGTTTTGTTTCCGAAATCAAGAATGAATTGTCAGGTTAGATGGTTAATCAAATTACTCACTTTCTCAGAAGTGAGAAGATTGTCTCGTTGGTACAATAGGCAGACATTTCAAAAAATCGAATTACTCCACAGTTGTAACTGTAACAACTGCTCTCGATTCAATGCACAATTTCTCAAGCCTTTGTAAAAGTGGAAAGTCTAAACATTTTTAAAGCATCACTCATTAAGACTGTGACACCGATAACAGCTGCAGGAGAAGGAAACAAGTGGACATGGCATGAAGATGGTTTTGTCAATTGTTTGTTTGTGTTCGAGGTCATGTATGAACTGTCAAGTTGAATGATTGTTGTTCACCTTCTATGGACGTAGAGCTCCTACTGCCTTGTTTGCAGAGTAGGCAGACGTCTCACGAAATGGAGTTGCTCCACATTTGCAACTGTGGCAACTTCTGTCGATCATTAAAAATAACAGCTTTTCGAGCCTCGTTGGCGCAGTAGGCAGCGCGTCAGTCTCATAATCTGAAGGTCGTGAGTTCGAGCCTCACACGGGGCATGAGTTTTAAAAGTCAGATGACCGCACAATGGCAGTAGATACAGTAAAAAACATGAAAACGCATACAGCTGATGCCAAAAATCAAGCAGTCTTACAAAACCCTTATGCCACACCCCCATTTCAAGTCAGTACTGCTTGTTATTTCTTTTTGCATCTGGCCGGTGGGTCCATAATTGCTGCTGTGACAAGCTCTGTCAGTGACAAAAGTGTAACTTTCGGCAAGCCTGCGTTGGCGAGTAGGCGTTTTTGTCAGTTGTTGTGTTCGAGGTCATGTATCGAATGTCAA